ATGTGCTCGTAGTTGATTCGAGTTTGAAACAATCTGGCCTACCTCCGCTTCTATAGATTGTGTGATCCCACTTCTGACACCAAGTTTCCAGCCTCGTTGGACCAATGGTAAAGACACAGTTCAGTTGTCTTGATTTGCAGAGGCTTTATTACGCCTGACGATACACCGGGACTCGATCACAACACATGCGGGCTGCAATCTTTTAGGGATACCTGACCATGCTACTTCCGGCCTGACATTCGCAATACTTCGTATTTCCAACAATCGGAATAACTCAGAAATGAACATACTAACAACATAACCAAAGAGGTTAACCCTGTCAGCAAGCTTACTAGGTAAGGATGTCATCTGTCGGACAACTCCACACCCTGCTACATACTTTCTTGTCAACAGAAGGCACGTCCCGAGCCGTATAGTAGGGTAGTGAGACTTATTTTGTCACAGAAATGTTGACATGATTTGCTGATATGTGGCTGTGGGACAACATGCATTCATATGGGGGTTCATTGATAAGTTCTAAGCCCGACGTAATGGGAATTCTGTAACAGTGACATCCTTTTGTTGTGGACATTACATTATGTAATAGAAATATCCACAAAAACTAGAGTCAAATTGTTTCAAGTCAGTACAATAAGTAGCTAAGTGTGAGTGTGGCAGGGAGAGCCTGAAAACAACCCCATCCTGGATGACCTGTGACGTCAGCAACACCATAAATGATTAAAAAAAAATCCATGATAGGGTGATGACACCCACTTGTCATCATACAGACAATGAGTTTTAGCGACTGCCGGGACCCCCTGCCAGGAGTAGCCTTTAATTCATCTTTCATTATTCTCCTTAATAACCATGGAGACAATAGAAATTCCAAACAGAAGGACCAGCCACTGGAAATGATGACTATTGTAAAAGAAACGTTGGCAACTCCTGTTAATGGGGTGGCTCAGTACATGGAGATTTGCATCCTGCATGTTGAAACTGATCAGGTTGTCGCTGGGGTTGGTTTGATAGTGAGGTCATTTAAACCAGGGTGGACGCTCGAGGTACTTCTGGGGAATGTGGCCATGTTGTACACAATCAGATCAGATCTTTGTGCAAGTTACCCCAACACAAAGATCTGACAACATTCTATGAAGAATGATCATTCATCAAACCAATCACAGCATTGTGTGCAAGATCACGAAAAGTAAATATCCTATTAATGTGTTTTCTAATCATGCAACCTCGAAAAGGTTAGTCTGGTGCAATGAACGACTTATGAACGACAGCTACGACCATCGTTTATCTTTCACTTCAATGGGATAAACACATGAAAGGGATGGAATACTTTCCATATAGCCCATACAATCTTGGCCATCTATTAAACATTTCAGAATTTTCTTTTATTCAATTTTCAAATTGAGAACTTTGTAAAACTATTTTTCAAAAGTTGTCTGGATGGGCAGTTTTCATTTTGAAACTAATGTAGTAAAGCTCAAGAAAGAGGCTTTGTGATGGCTAATGCTGAGTATCCTGTCTGTGATTTTATTTGTCGGATAAAGTTCGTTCTGATGTTAAGTATAAGGAGATGTCCTCAGTTGTGCATGTTTTAGCAATCACATTTGTCCTCTGTAGTGCCTGTAACAAGACAAGACTTGCCCCTGCTGTTGCAAGCCTCGGTGGTAGCGCTGGCACCCCCTGTCCGAATCCTCAGGGACTGAAGCCCTAGTCAGCTGATGAGCTGATGTTAAATACCTATATGCTGTAAAGATTCTGTAAAGTAGTCTAAGCCTTGGTCAATGATGAGACTTCCCTGGATGTAGGCATGACCATTAAATATCTGGCTTTTTCACCAAGTAGAACTCAAACAATAGTTATAATTTTGTATAATTCTAAGAACACTACTTCTATTACCATAATTCATAGGCTAAATTCCCATAATTTGGCTGTCATCACACTATAAAATCTTCAGATTTTCAACAGACTTTCCTCTTCAACCAAGCAACTGCACATGTGAGATGCGGGAAAACATCAATTCTTTCTAGTAACCTGCATCCTATAGACATAAATAGATGTATTTGGGAGGTGGGACTCCTGATGAAATAGAGGTAGTATTCTTAGAATTATACACAATGATAAGTTCTATTGTTTGATAATTCCTCCGAATATCTTACCCCTATGACTTCATAGCCAGAATTTACAAGAGGCAAGAATGGATCTCGTATCATCTCGTATAAACACATAAAGAAACAGACAAACAATACACAATACCTTATATTTGCCATAGAGAAAACCCTGTTCTATTGGCATTTAGTGAGGTCACTTCCTGTACTTCCGGCTCTGATGACATCACTTCAGGTTCTAACGTCACTTCCTATTATGACATCCCTTTTCTGTTTTTTCTCTGAAAACATCTTCAACTTTGAAGACACTTCACTTGGCGTCTATCCAATAGAACCGTTGATCACTTCCAGAAGTAAGCCATTAACCAGTGAACTGCCTACTCTAGGATGACAATAATCCAAAGCCTAACTTACATCATCAGGTTGAAGTACCTTGAGTCTGTGCCCCCAGTTTCCCAGTAGCCACAATTGGGCCCAGCGAAAATAGCCCTCCTTCGGGCCCTCTGGTTGAACATCGCACAACAGGCTGTAACAATACAGACTCCTTCAAGGGAACAGAGACACATGTCTTGATATGACAATAGATGACTTCTATGACAGTAAACAAGTTGGAATCATAACCAAACTTGGCGTGCCAGCAACTCCCCCTGCCTCTTGAGGAAGCCTTTTATAAGCCCACTTGATCAGGTTTCATCTCCATGGGAGCATCCACTGATAAACTTTGATGCTGCTCATCAATGGTAGGTAGCAGATGCCGGACTCCCGCTACCATCCAGTTAATCTATGCTCCAACATTCATCAAATGTCTATTGAATGACCTTGCCTGGAGAGTACAGTGAGTCCTCGACATAACACTCCTCGATGTACCGCTAGCTCGGATCACGGACTTGTATAGGTCTGTGCTCGGATGCAGCGTGGGGTAAACCTTGGCTCCCCAAAATTCATGCAGAATTTCCCTAAAAAGCGCATTAATGCAAATAAAGTGACAAATAAACTGAAGAGATTTAATTCCCAGTTGCATTCCTTCAATGAATTTAGGTAAACGAACAGGTGATAACAAATGAACTTGGTCAATGTTTTAAATTTCTGATAAAACATCCCTAGACATGATAATTTACCAATTATATTGTATTTCCTGTTGTGCTAGGCACTGTTTTATATGCAGAGATTAAGATTACCGTGTGTATTTTCTCGTAAGCTAAGCTGGAAGCAGCAATCAGCCGTACACACATTTTCTCGGAATCTACTGGGGACTTGGTTAAAACGTACCCAAAATATAACTTTCAAGAATTTTGATACAATAATCATAACTTTAATTTAATCAGACATTTTGTATTCCAATATCACGTTATTATAGTAGCAGTAAGCATAGGCCATTGGTACGTATACAGCTGATCGCTAGTGTCAGATGTTTTTACGTATGGAACAATTTGACAAATTACCAATGATGCTCCAGCACTCGCAATCGCGAAAACTTTATGCTGACATATAGTGAGTGCGTAGGCTAAATCTACACTCAAAGCAGATGATGTCTGTAGATGGAGGCTTCATGCCCATAACACGTTAACGAAATACTCTACTTTCATGATTTCCATTTCAAACCAGATTATTAATCAATGAATGTGTTAATTTATGAGCAAAAGCCTTAAGAAATTACAGCGTGAAAACTAAACAGAGTGTTTGCTTAAAAGTTTAAAAAGATTCCTTGCTTCTCTAAGCACACACATGAAAAAAGTGACGTTTTTCCACATTGCGCATGTGCAGTTGCTTGGTTGATGAAAATATCGTCCATACAACTAATCAGATAACCTGACAGTAAATAGGAGCTTCCTTTAAAAATCTAAAAATTTTATAGTGTGATGACAGCCAAATTAAAGGAATTATAGCCATGATGTAATAGAGGTACTATATTCGAAGGAATTATGCCTGTCGCCGTAGTGGATGCCAATGGCCGGCCATAACTGAGAGTCCTGAACCTTGTATGAATTAACTCTGGGCAAGCCCTGCATGTACGCTGCTTAATGTCCTCTTCCACAGCTGGGGATGAAGAAGCAAAATCCATTTCAAGGATGGGTGGTGATCCCTTACTGAATCAGGCGGCTTAAGGGCGTTCCTTGAGTGGCAAAGTCAGCAACCAATGCCTGTGCCAACTCCGCTGGCACTGACAACACTGTCAGGGGAAGTACCTCGGGACCAGGCAACACTACTGGGAGCAGATCCACCATCCACTTGATGATATTAGCATCCACCAGATGATGATCAACTTACTCATAGTCCAGAGAGAACAGGTGCTCTAAGAGGGGAGAAGGAAAGAAGGTTGACGACCACAGATGAGGTGATGAACACCTAGCTATGAACTCACTTTGTGAGTCGTATGACCAATGGTATGCAGTAGACTGTCCAGAGGCTGCACTGCATACCCGCAACTGCAATAAGACTGGATTTTGCAGGTGCCACACTAGTCACTGTAGCCAAAACAAGGGGGGTCACTACATCACGTCCTTCCAACAACTCTACAGGAACTCAGCAATATAGTCCCTGAAGAGTGGGTCAATCTACCTGTGGCTACCATCAAGGCACTTATTGGGACCCTGAGACGATGGTGACAGGCTGTGATCTCAACACAAGGATCTCATACGCGCTTCTGAGAGTTTGTTTTAGGGGACAATGAATTGTGGGTTTTTGTGATTTTTCGACATTTCAGTTTTGGTCAGATACGACTGATTATTGGTCACATGTTGTTTGTTGGCATTGTGTGGCACATGACAACAGACTTTTGTTCATTAAACACGTCTTCACGCAATATTGTCTTTGGCTATTCAACAGATGCTCACAATTCTGCATATAACCTTCAAATGTGGTGATCCTCAGCAAACTTAGTTTGTTCAAATTTGTCTATACCTTTTCTCTCAAAATTTCCCTGGAGCTGTCTATTGATGACCCCTCAGTGAAGAGATAAATAGCTTCATTCTGAAATATCAGAATATGAACATTTGAGTGAAAGCAGTCATGAATATTACAACAACATCATGGGGCCTCAAGTCTGGGCCAGATAAATGATAGCACAAGCAACAATCTTGGTCAATGTACAATGACACAGAAACATTGATGTCACATATTGAAATCATTCAATCCATCCTTAATGAAAATTAATTGCTATGATTTCTTCACTTACATTCTTATCTGTGAGGGCATGCAGGACAGCTTCACATGTGGCCGTTGTAGACACCTCAGCTAGCCTGTCTAGTCTCCAAATCCACTGTATGGCCTTCTCTACTGTGTCATGTGTCACAGGCACACACTCTTGACTGTAAGCATCCCTCTCTTCACAGGCCCTGGGTTGGATATAACTACATCATCACAAGATGTTATGTAACAACAGAAAGGAGTGGGAGTGACACAGTAATATCTGCATGAGAGCTATGACCAGTAAATACTTTGCGTTATGTTTTCAGCTCATTTAGTTGTTGAAAAGTTTCACTGCCAAGCATAAACTTCAGGTTACCCATTATAAGCTGGCTATAATCACTTATTCTCTAAAACATCCATTTATAGCAATATTTAGGGAGCAGTTCAAAAGTTTTGAGACATACCCAATCCCCAAAATATGTGTCCCGAGACATGGGATCTTACATCTTACAACTTCATCACATGAATGTGTATGAGGCTGCTGCTGTTTGTTCAGATAAAAATGCTCAAAACAGATACACTGTTCCCTGAAACACGAACCACAGGGACCTCTACAAAGTACTGTGAATTGGTACATTGCTACAGGTGTCCTTGAGATCATATCTCTTCCTGCATGTATCAGTATAGATTTGACAGTTCCAAGCTCTCAACTTGATACTATATAGAGGTGTAAAAAGAACTTTGACAACTTTTAATTTTTCCAGCACAAGTGTTGCAAAAAGTCGAACATTCAGTGGTCTGCATATGACTAGCGAAATGCATGTGGCTGTCAGACAACTTTTGGTCCTCCGCCCATGCATGTCTCTTCCCAAAGGGGCAGGGACATGTTTGTGGATTTGTGTGGGGACAGTTGAGTGAATGCAGCAAGTTTCTGGATGTGAAGAGTTACCTTCCCTGGACACTATAGAAATATGAGAGCAAATGTAGATGATTTATGGTTGTTTTATCCAAGTGGTCATCGCTCTTGCTCAGCACATGTGGATTCTCAGAATATACCAGGTATATTAACTGTGGCATTGTAATATGGTTGATAGATATATGCACCGATGTGGCTCGTTGTTTTGAGTGTGCTTGTGTGCACCACTACCCGTGAGTGATATTACCTGCCTCTTTGTTTTTTAATCGGAATACAGTAAATCTTGAAATTAATGCATCTCCAAATTAATAGACTGCTGACCTCTAGCAAAAAATGCGACTCGATACTGTAAATCTTGAAATTAACGCGAGCTTGAATTAAATGCGAAAAAAGCGAGTGGTCTTTGTTCACATTATTGAAACTTCACATTTATGGCTCCAAAATACTATCAACAATAAGACAGTCTCACTGCACACTTTGGATAGCGGAAATACCAACTTGAATATAAACACAAACACGTGTTTGTGTCATTAATCCAATCAAACAGAAAATAGCACTGCTTATTAGCGGTGAGTGAAGCACTTCCATACAAACGATAAATCTGTTTTTCCTAAAAACAACACACAGTTTATATGCTTATTCTGTTGACTGGCATAAAGGAAGTTCAAAACCAACAAAATAATTGAACCAACAACAGTTCACTGATTAGAGTGGTCAATGATGCCTAGTTTGACACAAGTGGGTAGAACTCTTTACCACGGCAGTGATAACTCATCGGATGCCCATTGTGTAATTCCTATTCTTTGAATGACATTGTTATATATACTTGTTACAACTGCTGTTCACTAAACTGTGTTTGTGTTTATATTCAAGTTGGTATTTCCGCTTTCCAAAGTGTGCAGTGAGGCCGTCTTATTGTTGATAGTCATTTTGGAGACATAAATGCAAAGTTTCATTGCATAAATGCGAACAAAGAAGACTGGCATTTTTCACATTTAATTTCGCGATAATTTCATTATTTACAGTACTTTGTTCCAGTCGGTGTCGCATTTATGGCGTGTATTGTGTAAATGGTCGGATCATGCTCTCCTTGATGAGCAGCCATTTTTCCATGTGGCCGACGTGAGTCAACAATTGTATATGCATGGCATTATATGTTAATAAACTCATGTGTACATAGATTGTTCTTTTGTATTTTATTTCATGATTGTTTTAAGTATGTTGCTGGTTTCAAATAGAACCACTGCCTCACACATGTCTGGTAAAAGCAGTAAACTGATAGATTGCTACAGAATTCTGGTGACATAAACCACTGTTCTTCTTGGAGTCAACAGTTTTAGTGTGCATTCCTTTGTTTTGTTGATTAGGATATGGGCTGCAGTGAGGATATATTCTATATGTATCAGATATATATAACAATTTTAATTAAATGTCAACTACTGTATCATTAAACAAAGCAAATACATAGTAATCTTACACTTGAAATGCTGTTATGTTTGCGTACAATGCCCTTTTATGACATCCTCCATTGACCCTTATCAGTTAGTCCTTTAAGTTCTAATGACATCACTTCTGGTTCTGATGTCACTTCCTATCTTGGCAGGACAGAGACTACACAGTTCCTGTAAGTCTGGATGTATGTCTCACAAATGGAAGCCAGTAAATGTGTAAATGGATCTCCATTGGCAGCTGGAGACCACTTTTTCAATTGACACTGAACTCCAGAACGCAAGGCTGGTACACAGGGCTCTTAATCTTGAGCTGTAAATGATCCAAATACAGGAGTCTACATCCGGCTTCAGTAATGACTCTATCTGTGGCTGTCTTACACAAGATGTAAAACTGTTTTCTATGCATTTTATGTGGTTGCGTCGCTGCCAGGTAAAATTAAAATGCACGACCTGGACAGAGATGACAATCTGGCGACTCCAAGTCTTTGCTGAGTACAGAGATGTCTGTGTATCAACCTTCTCAGTGCTGTAACTTTGTTCTTGGACACAAACTTTGGTAGGGTTTTGATGGCTATGGTACTCCACTCTTCCGTATGTGTGAGACTTGAGATGTCAAGAGCATGGGGAGCTCTGAGACTCTGGTTGCTGTAGCCATGTCTTGGCAATCCATCATTTTATTTCCAATACATATAGGCCACAGGCCTTTGTGTACAAAAGTTGAGTACAGACAGGTTTTAAACATTCAGTTTCGCATTTCTTACATTATTTGCATAATATAGATATTTTGCTGGATTTGTAATAAGATATGTATCTGAGACACTTGAGGCCTCTTTTGTTCATCTATGTGAAGACTTCACCTCAATGGTGACTGGTACATTTGTAACATCCTGCAACCAGTTGTTGTGCCACATTTAAACAACCACCCAACCTTTACAAAGATGACAATGCTAGGCCACATTGTTTCCAAGCAGTAACAGCTTTTCTCCAGAATGATGCTGTGAGGACACTGCTGTGGCCTGAATCCCCTGTAGCAAATTTGGGACATCTTTGGGAGTCAAGTACAGGCACTGGTCCCACTGGTACAGACTCTTGCCCAATTGGGAATGGCTGCAGTTGCCTTACTGGAGGGATGAGATGAATGCTGGAAGCTGTCATGCCTGCAAACATGGCAGGTTTTCCTGCTTTTGATGATTTGTGTCATGAATGTCATCTTTGGACTGAAATTGACATGATGTGGAATTGTGTTCCTGACTGCACCTTCATATCTATTGTGGCTACTGTTTTTTGCATAAATAAAATGCCTCTGAGTTTGTGTTTGAATCATAATTAAAATCTCAAAACAGAATAACCTTTTTGTTTTTTGTTTTTTGTCAGAGGTGTCTTCTTGCACACCACATTCCTTTTTCCGAGGTTATGTTATCGAGGTTTAAATGCCAATGTTCATACGACCAGTCATTGTAAAATATACAGGGGCGCTTAACTCTTTTGTTTGTGTACGTATGAGTATAATTTCATTGTGTTATTGGGATAAGTTTCATCTGTGATGTTTTATTGTTCAGGTTTAACTGCTTCAGTATTAATAAAACAGCTTTGTTCCACTTTTACATGAAGGGGAAGACTGTGCAGACAGCCGTACATTACGTCTGATCTGAGTTGATAGACAAGATCTGGACCTTCCAGGAGCTTGAGTTGTTTGCCCATGATTAATGGGAAAAATCTGGGCAACCACACTCAAGCGGAACATAACGGTGCTATGAGTAGGATCATTCTTCATCATCCTTACGACTCTGTCTAGGAGAGACCATGGTTGGATAATAGTGCTTGGGGAAATGGTACTGGACTGATGTATCCCAGGAGCTTGTTGTTGAGACATGTGGCAAACAAATCCAGGTGAGGTGTATATCCCGCACTGATGTTATCCAATGGAATACTTCTGGATTCATAGCCACTATCCTCCCCAGGATATGCTATCTGCCAAGATGTTAAGCTTCCCTGGAATATGATGAGCTTGCAGCCTGCAGTTGATCAGAGTTTGCCAAGGCACACAATGTGTAGTCTAGCTCATTGATCCTATCGATCTGGTTCCTTCTTTTTTCTGGCTGTAAGCCTTCTAGGTTTTTTATTCAAGTGTATTGTAGGCCATAGGCCCATGATACAAACGGAAAATGTACAGTGGAAGTTCGAGGATCACATTTATGTATTTACCAATGATTGTCTAAGATACATGGCTTTAACAATAAACAAAGATAGACTTTTAATAGTTGCTCGATGGACAGATGACATTAAAATGTTGAACTTTTGCGTTGTTGGAAATTCATAATATTTTCTTGGTATAAATTCTGCCCTCAGAATCTGGTAACATTTCCATATTAGAATAAAATGGTACTCATCTTCAACATAATTGTATTTACATGCTTTGCAAACTCGTTCCACTCCAGGTTCCATTTTGTGTCTACCAGATTCGATCCGAAGATGATGGGAACTACACCGTAATCTAGCCAGAGCATGTCTAAATTTCTCTTGTGGTAAAATAGTAATATATATATCCAGGCCAAATGTTTGCTTATACAACGAATAGTCAAAATGATTTTGAGCTTTCTGAAAGAGTTGCATGCCAGTCTTGTTCATATTAAGATTTTAATCTACATAGAAATTCACTTATAAACCTGGGGATATTTGTAATACATTGGTGCTCCCACACAAGGCCAAAAGCTGTTAGCTGAATAATTCTTTTAATCTTTTAGGGGGCACGGGTGGCCCAGTTGTCTAAGGCGCTGCAGTTCGCTGTGCAGAGTTGCGTCCCTTGGGTGCGCTAGAAACCTATGATTTTCAGTTCGAATCCCGGTCCGCCCTGATTAAGTTTCTAGGTTTGTCAGCACCATACCCGTGCTCATAGGTTTCACTGAAGTGGTAAACGCCTGAGACCTGCATCACTTCGGGCTTTCCTTCCTTTTGCCGTGATATAACTGGAATACTGTTTAAAGTGGTGATAAACCCAATTCACTCACTCACTCTAATTTTTTAAGCCTAGTTAATTTTACCATTTTGGAGCGCCTGAAGTTGCATGTTATAATTCTTTTTGTAATATCGTGAGTCTGGCATTTTCAAAATATTACACCATTATTTAACAGCCCTTTATACCCATAAATATACAGCGGATAACGTTCACATTCACCTCTCACAACATGTTTTGAGGTTGAGTTTCGAACTCCTAAAAATTGTTTACAAGCAATCATATGTACGCTCTCAATTTTGTTACAAATGTCAGGACTCAAGCCCCATATTTCTTACCCATCTAACATTATAGGAGTGATTCTGATATCAAATATTTTAAACAAAATATTAAACGATAACGGCTTCAGCTTTGCTAAAGATTTACGTTCTCCAAATAATACATTCTTTGCTTGTAGCGCTGCATCCTTTACATGTTTACCCCATGATAAAGACCTAGTAAATCTTGAGCCTAAATATTTATAGGAGTTTTCACAGTCGAGTTTGACTCCATCAAAAAAACATTTCTCATGCCTTGTGAGCCACCACTGTGATGTTGTCTATGGCTACCTGGATCGATGATAAGGATAAGTGGTGCTTCTAAGCTTCGAGCACATAATAAATTGCTCTCATCTCTGGGCAATTCATGTGGAGATCCATCTGGTAAGGTTGCCATAGTCCCTGCACTGTTAGATTGTCCATATATCGGCTCCCCAGCCTGAGTTGGATGGTGATGCTTGGGTGCTGGGAATAACAGTGGCATGCCCTCCATGACATTTTCTTGGTATGTCCGTCACTTGAAATATCTTCAAGCAATGCACACCCTAAATTATGGGCTGTTAAATTCTGGAAAATACATCTCTTGTGTTTACTACACAAAGATTTTTTCTTTAGTATCAATCATTATAATAAGGGCCCCCTATTTCTAATTTTGAGAGCGCCCTGGGCGCTTATTACGTCGAATACAGTAGTTGGCAGTGAATATGATGTAATGGAGGTAGGGTATTCACAAGGATGATATAAAAAAGGTAATCATGGTAATAACTACCTGATGATGTTAAATTTGGTGAGCTGAGTAACTTGTTCACGAAGGACCTTCTCCATAGCTGTCCGATACTGGTCAAACTGCTGAGGTGACATATTGCGGATGTCAAGGATGATGATCACAACTTTCTCCTCTATGATTCCAAATATACGACGACTTTCTGTTGTAAGCCACTCCAATCGTCTTTTGTATAATTTCTCCGCCTGAATCAGTCTCTTTTGAATCTGATGTAATTTCTGTTTGCTTCCTGTAATCTAAAAAATAAAAGTTTAATCAACAATAAATATAAAGACATTTGTACAATCGTTTGATTACTTACTTTGAATGCTATATTTTCTTTGCACCTATCATTAGATTGCTAACAGTTTATATGGTTTTAAACAATTACTCTGTCCTACTGACCACACCTATGTTGTGGTCTCTAAAATATAACTGATTGTTTTACACAAGATGATATCCGACAGCAATCAAAACGAACAAGGCATATATTATTCATAATTCCTAAAAACAAAATGTATATTCAGATTTAAGTTATTGTCCAATGCAGTGAAATACATTGTTTAGCCATTTGGTCAGGAAAGTATGGCTATTAAAAAGGTATATAATGTGCAGCCCTTAAATTTTTTTCTGTGTAGCCACTTGGTAGCCAATTTGGTTATAAATATATATGTCTATTGTCTCTTAGATGTCTAGTACTCTTCAGCCTGTGTCAAAGAGAAAGGCAATAGGTTGTAGAAACGAGTCATCGTCATACAGTAAAGCAAGTTGATTATCATCTTGCCTCAGACGACTGCTCCTCAAGCAGCAGCATACCAGTTCCATCTACACGATCATATTCCATGTTATCCTGGAATACTACGGACAATCGGGTATCAGAATTATGGCCCTCGCTCTCTAGGACGCACTACAGTTACTTCCAATGTGTGTGGAAACAAACAAACAGTACAGTTTGACTATATATAAAGGTATTTCGTCATGGGTTTAACATAATATTAAATATAAGATAGCTATTTTGTAAAAATTGCAAAGAACACTGAAGAACATATGAAATTTCTAACTCTATTACATCTCTGCCATAAATCCTGTATTTTGGCTTCAGTCACACTAACTAAATATTTTCAAATTTTCATCAGATGTCCTCTTCACTGTCAATCACACACAATTAGTTGTTCCCAAGTAGCATCGTAACCACCCAAGCTATGACGTATGCAATGGTGGGAACCTCACTTTTTTCCTGTCTTTGCTAGACTCAACACCTATTGTAATAGCAGTAACGATATAGCACTTGGTAGTTAGTCACATTAGTCTAAGATTATTCTAATAGTTTTCTATAATACAGACATAATAAGTACATATTAATAGCTGCTTCTGGAGTGATGATCGCACGCACGTGAGTGAGTATTAACTGGAGGTGCTAGGTGTTAGTGAGGTCGTAATGGAGTCTCCGACTACTCCCAGTGCAAGAAGTGTGGTCGATTCATGATCACGGGAGATCCTCATGTTAACTGCATGAAGCAGACCAAGCTCCCAATACTCCTTCCTCAAGGTCATACTCTGTCACAGTTTCTTCTCCAATCAAAAAGGTGAATAGTTCATGTCAGACATCAATTAGCTGGGTCAAGGATCAGCAAACAATGCTCTACTCTCTTTCTGAGACGACTGAATCCACTGAAACACAGACTGTTATACCATCTACCCCTCAGTCTCAACCAGCTGACCTTACTACACCAGGCCCTGAGCCAGATACTGAACCTATGCCAGATACTGAACCTGTGCCAGATACTAACACAGATCAAATCATTGAAACGAAAAGAAATGTACGTTTAACCAATAAAGAAAGAAAACAGCAGAAACGAAAAGAAGCTAAGGCCCTTAAGCATATTAAGGAGTCTTTACCAATCCCTATAGAGGTTCACATCAGCTTTGAACCTCTTGAGATGGAGGTCTCTCCATCGCTGCCATTACAGAGTAGAGGACCTTCCCCACGTTCACGTTCTCCAATTGAGCCTCCATGAGTTGCTCTCCTAATTCAATCCAAAGGAATTGTAGAGGACTTTGGAACAATTTCAATGACCTTCAGCTATTAATTCAAGATTTCAAACCATCTTCACTTTGCTTACAAGAAACTTTCCTTAAACCAACAGATAATTTTGATTTACGACAGAACGATTCTTACCATTGCTTATCCCCTCCAGGGGATAAAGCAACTGGAGGGTCCTCTGTTATGGTGAGGTAGGGCGTCATTCACAGTCCTGTTCCTCTCAATACCCCTCTTGAGGCTGTTGCAGTACGTGTAACATCAAATATTGTTTTTACTTTGTGTTCTTTGTATATACCACCATCATACGCTCTCCGACAGTCTGATCTTCAGGCACTATATGACCAACAGCCTTGTGTTATCATGGGAGATTTGAATGGTCATAACCCACTTTGGGGTAGTAGTGACACTAATAATAAAGGAAAGGTACTTGAGGATTCTCTCTTAAATAATGATTTGTGCATTTTTAATGATGGTTCTCACACATATCTACATCCTGCAACTGGCACTTACACTTGTCTGTCCACGATGACCTCTGTGGAAGTGACCATTTCCCTACCATTTTACAATCTGTGACCCCATCTGATGTTTCTCCATCATCAAGATGGAATTTTACTAAGGCAAACTGTGCTTTATATGAAGTCCTTTGCACTAATCAACTAAAACCTGATGGTTTTCTTGATGTTCCCGACCCTATAAAACTTTTTTCCGATAAACTGAATAGCTGATGAATGTATTCCGAAGTCTTCCTCAAATCCTCACATACGTAAACCATGGTTCAGCAATGATTGCAAACTAGTTTAGGAAGGCAAGGAAAAAAGCTGAACACTATTTCCGTCGCCATCCTATGGTCAACAATTTAAATAAATTTAAAATATTCAACGCTAAAGCAAGGCGTACATTTAAACAAAACAAGCGTCAATCTTGGCACCATTATGTCTCCAAGATAAATTCACGTACGCCTATATCTAAGGTATGGAACATGATCCAGAAAATTAAAGGTAAGGGTTCTAAGTCTAGTATCCATCACCTTAAAAAAAAAACGATACTTCTGATATTGCTAATAAAATTGGTGAAACTCTAGCTCAACATTTTTCATCCTCAAACTATGTCCCTAAATTCCAAAAATTTCAAAAGCAGCAAGAAAAGAAACCTGTAAATTTTATTTCTGTGGTTTCCGTAAAAATCGCAGTACTATTGATCATTTAGTTCGACTGGAGTCATTCGTTAAGAATGCCATTATAAGCTTTTGTCCTCTCCCCCATGGCAGTTGGTACAGCTAGAAGTTGACCTGTCATTAAATAAACTTAAGAAATCAGAAACAAACCAACTAATCTATCAACAAGAATTTAATGAATTGCGGAACAGATATAGCACATTCAAATCTATATTTACAGACGGATCCAAGGATGGTGACACGGTTGCTAGCGCCACCGTCGTTGGATCCAGGATTATGTATTCAAGACTACCCGATAATAGTGTCATGGCGACTGATTTACGACTACCATTGTCTGAAGTACATTTGACTCCAAAGGCTAATTCCCCGTCAACATGCGCATTGACAACTGGTGTTAGAATCCGGCTGGAGTAACTCTTGAGTTTATTCCCGATCCAGTTACCTCTCTATATGCCTACCATCCTGAAGAACAACCATCAACTCAAGCCATGAAGAAAAGGAAACAAGATTGAAGAAAACAACAAGAATCTCTCCGATGCCAACTTTCTTGATGAAATTTCCCATTCAAGATTTCGTTCATGCACAGGACCAAAGAAGTATACACGCCTATCCCACAGGGATCCAACCACAGCCATCATCATGCAGACCCTGCACAATACAGAAGTCGCCTCACGGGCACCTACAAGATGGACATTGTGTACAAGATATCTCATGGGGACTTACTAATTTGTGTTTACGTACATGGACTCAATCAATGATATATATTGTGTGACTGTTGAATAGTGCAACCAGGTATGTTTAATCAAAGCCAGTATATTAATGCCAAAATGTGTCTTTCCAAAATTCAGTTTTGTATGTGTGCAATATACTCCAATTCTACATCTTTAGTCATGCTAGATCTTTGAAGTTATTGTGTAGGGAATCTTTGAAATGTCTCCAGGCCACGCCAGACTTAAAGATACAGCTAGGGCCCAGACAAACCTGAGCTGTAGTGTTATCGAGTCACACCTCAAAGTTAGACTCGTAATTTCAAAAATCTAAACGACAAAATTTGTCATTTGTTACAAATTATTAATGTGCACAGTTTGGTACAAAATTGAATGTATTGTCTTGGACTTTGAATTCAGATTAGGGATATTCATGGATAAGCCACCCCCCACATATGTATATTGTCAGTATTAAGTAATTAACAGCACAGCAGTTTTCAGCATTTCAGAGTTTTGATGTCGGAATTAAGGATTATTTATTTCCTTGGGCATAGCACCCACAATATATGGGCAAGCTCCGTTAAAGACACGGGAAGAGCACACGTTGTACTTAAAAGGGCAAACGTACCGACAAGTACCGTTTGAGTCGCACGATAAGTTAAGACTCCTGGTTTCAAATTTCTTTATGCGAACTATTTGCTGAGATGTTTAATTTGTACTTTTTATGACATTACTCATTATCATTATCATTATTCGGTACTGAGTCGCACCGCCAAGCCAGACTCCTGAATTCAAAGACCCTTCAATGATATATTTATTGAATCTGTGCAAAGTTGTATTTACCTCGTAGTGAAATTGCACATTACAAAGAATACTTGGTTGATGTAACAAATGTTATATTTGTTATATCGTTGTGTGTTCAATACTTGGTTAGTTTTCAAACTGGCACTAAATCAAACTGGCTAGATGATCACTTTCATACCGTCATCGGATAGGTACGTGTGCACAAGTATTTCAACGATATCCTAAACTCATCTAACTGATTATGTTCACATTTTGCACTGTTATTTTCGTAGGTGAAAAAGTTCATACATATCAATTTGGACTCATGTAAGCTTGGGGTCCAAGCTTCACGGAACGGAGGGAAGTTGTCATAGCGACTGATTTACGACTACTATTGTCTGAAGTACATTTGACTCCAAAGGCTAATTCCCCGTCAACATGTGTGTTGATAATAGTTCTATTTTTACAGCCGAATCCCATGCTATTTTAACAGCTCTAAAATATATTGGTAAACAAACTAAGCATAAGCAATTTATATTATTTTCGGAC